AATGCTATTCGCCGGTTGTCACGACAGAGGGACAAAGAAAATACCTAAATCCCTACGGAGAAAAGGAAACTCAAACCTTTGAGACATTGTCATCTTAAGGATGCGGAAATTGCGGGTATCTTGTCCGAGGATTAAAAAACAAACAACTTTCCAATGATTAGAAAAGGCGGATGCAGGAACTCTCAGAAAGTGAAAGAAAGCATAACATTCCCACGGCAAAAAAGCTCCACGTCGCCCCATCAATCATTAAGAGAAACTGTGAAGATGATTGCTACTACTAAAGAGCAAAAAGGTTCACGATCATCGAGGCGCATTGGACGCCGAACCTGCTTAGCTGGCGTTACCATATCAACATTCCTCTGTGTCAGTGGAATTGCTCTGTGTGCAGTCTTAATCACGTTCGTCGTTCTACATAAAGAGTGCCCAAGCTGTCCTTCCTTCGTTTCTGAAGATCCGAAGTCGGTTTGGATTTTCACGGGAGTTGCTTCCTCTTTGTTAATATCTGGAGGATGTATCATTGTGATACTAACGTTCCAAGATCGGCGAATAAACAGCCCTGACAGTTCATTTCCAGAAGAAGTTGAAATCCCTTCTACGATTCTGGCACAAGATCCTGAAAATTCCTCCGCATTTGTTTTGCCCCACCCTATAATCTGGCCAGTAGTTTTACCCGATTACTTTACTGCTGTTCAAAATGACATTGAAGCTGTCCCATCGGTATACTGTGTAAACTGCTCTGAATCACAGCCACCAAGCTACGAAGAAGCAGTTTCATTGGTAAATTTCCGTACCACATGATTATCGCCTCTTGGATGTTCGAATTCACTGTCTCAGACGTAACATCTATGGATTTTCAAACTCTGCAGACTTCTTCGAAACCGGATAAATCGTAATCCCAGACTACATAAATGCAAACACTCTATATTGTTTTGTATGGTTAAACTGGCCTTGATGTTTATAATTTGAAGCAATCGATATTATCACAATTAAAACGTTTCTAAAACCAGTGAATTGTTATCACGACAGATTTTTAAAACTATCGTTGTTTGATTAAAAATAAAGTCGTCAAAAACCGATTTACAAGACATAGGATAAATTCTCACTCATAAGATTGTTATTTCAATTTCGTTTCTGTGGCTTAAAAATGAGCAAGCGTCAAAGCTGAAAATGAAGGTGAAAAAAATTCCTCCACGAGGTTCATATTACGGAATGTAAGTAAACTCTCATAATGACACAAATTTTGAACTGTATTTTCTTGACAGTCAGGATGGCAACCTCGAGGAAGACGTTGATTGAAAAATGAATTTACATTTTTTTTTGTGAGTTTTGTGTATGTCTGGATGTGTTTACCGACTATTACCGCTCCACGCCTCAACTTCAGGATAACGAATGCGAGCAGCGCTGAGTTCCAAATGGAAATTTAAATAATTTGCCTTCAGGATTCTGTTCTCGAGCCACGCAAAGTTCAGTGATTCCACTTTTTTGTCTCGCAGAGGATTGCTTAGAAATTTTCGAAGCTTTAAACCACTCGAGCTGAACTTATTGATCTGCTTAATAGATCTTTTGTTTTGCGGCGTCTTCATTGTTATGGCCGTCGCTTATAGAAGTTCCTAGCTTGTAACAAACAGATTTCATGGTGCCGTGCTTCTCTTCAGTAATACATCACAGATGACTTAAATATGTGGTAAGAACAAAAAGGCGGCGTAGCCAAGTGAGTCACTGATGTTTTTACCATATTTTAACATCTTCTGTAAGCTATTAATGAACAGCCCTACGGCAACATGGAACCTATTTGGTTTGTCTGATGAATAAGCAAAATGTAGTTGATGGTGGCGTTATCTACGCATCTTCTTCCAATACATCTGAAATAGAGACAAAGCGTGCTTAATTTAGCGTGTAACCATATCCATAAATAGAAACATGGAACAAGATATTTAGGGCGAGTTGGCGCAGGACGGTCTAAGTGTTTTTTCAATCGAAAGGTGTAGGAAATTACTGAATTTTGTTTAATTCGAACCCCCCATTTCTTTGGAGTGAGCGGTAAAGCATTGAAGCGCAAAATCCAAAGATCTTCGGTTGGAGTCTTCTAGAAGACTACCTCTGTCGCATGTTTGCGACAAACAGATTACCAAGTTCTTTGACCTTAAGAAAGTTGGAACATTCTATAACAGCATCCAAAGTGATGCTAGTTTTAAAGTCCGCATAATCAAGAGTAAAGAGCATCTAAAAGTTGAATCAATTAAAGCTACTGAGAAGAAACAAGTTTAAGTGGCGATACTTGAAATTTAATCAGCTGCATAACGGACACTTAAATTTCCACGCGCACTCAAGAATCACGTGCCGTTCATTTGATGAACGTGACTTCAGTAATTTTCCAAATATAATTTCTTACGTAGGTAAAACCAAACAGAGCAGCAAAAATATCGTTTAGATAGCCGGGAATGTTCTTTAACGTCTGGTATACAGAGCAATATAATAATTTTTGGTGTATAGTGCCCGAAAATTTGCCAAAACTTTTAATGAGCCCCATGCGCGTAACGTTCACAGTGGAGGTCTGCAAACAGCCCATGAGAGTCCGTCAAATAACAAGATCAGCCGAAACACAAAAAAGAGGCATATATAATATCGAAAAGTAGTGAACAATACCGTTTCAAAATGGCAGATGATCCACAGGTAGCGAATGAAGCACAGGAATCCACGAGAGAATCGATCACAGCAAAGAAGGGATCCTTGATTCTCGCGTTCCTCGCTCTTCTTTGTTTTGGAGCTGGGGTGTTCATCTTTGGAGCAGTGATTTTCCTACTCATTCGAGAAAGGTGTAATGATTGCAAGCAGAGCTCATTGGGAAAGAGTTTGTCTATTGTTGCCTTTTCGTCGATTGTCTTCGGTTTTGGCTTCCTGGGAGGTTATTGCAAGAGATCCAAAAAGTGCTTCACCCGTCCAGTTGCTGAGTTAGTTGTTGTCTCTGCGATTCCAGCAGAAAATCTGGAAAAATCACCTGCTCCTGTTCTGCACGATAACCATGTTTCCCCACGTCATTTGTACATGAGTTCAGCCTCAGATTTGCCTGATTATTTTACCGCCATCAGAAATATTGATGGCTTATATTCAGCTGCAGACGCCGAAGTTCGGTCGGAAGATATCCCCAAAACCCCGCCACCATGTTATGAAGAAGCGCTTAAAATGCCTGCTTTAGCTAATACGACAATCTAAAAGGATACGAGCAATTTCAAAGAAGGAGTCATCGAAAGTGAAGAAATAAGCCTGGGATAACTCTTATCTCTTCATTTCACCTCTTCATATTATATTTTGACCGTCCTGCTTTGTAGATTTTTATCAATTTTCGCGTGAATTATGTTTTTTTTATTTGCGTACCAAACATGCTAGGTCAAAGGTTAGCAAAAAAAGGTTAAAAAAAAATCAAGTATTGACAATAAGGTGATTGAATAGGCTTGCGGTTAGCACGCGCACAAAGGTGCACTTACTAATGATTATTTTTTTAATTCCAAAGAACGGTTCGCGCGTTTAAAAACGTGGAACTTGTCTCTTTGTAAATGGTCCGAACTGTTCCCTGACGTACTGGAACCAAGAACCAGGATAAAGTCGATGAGGGACTATGGATACAGAGATACTTCGCAACGAAGCAATGATATCCATTTTCTATTAATTTATCATCCACGTTAGGATAACTGAGTAATATGCACTCTTCTGTTTTAAGATGCACGCATGTTAAGTTGTGTCTCAGCACGGGTAACCCACACTCGCACAATGAGCCTCTTTAAATATGTAAATATATCTTAGGATTTGTATCCGAATGAACGGCCCCATTATCAAGCCAAAAACTGAACTTATTTTGAATATAAACGAGGTAGCCTCCTTTTTGTGCATTTTGTAAGTTTTCTGATTTACGACAGTTTACCTCGAGAGTTTTAAGTCCCGTTTTTTTCTCTATACATAAAACTTTGATATTTTCATTTTCATATTTTTCGGAGGCTCAAAGTGCAAGCATGGGCTTGCTGTGGTCGCACGAAGTTGAAACTATTAATAAAGTTTAAACTCGAAGTCTTTCTTTCTTGACGTGACGTCACACTTTGATTCACGGATGACTTCCTGTTTGATTTCAAAGCAAACAAAGTCTCAATTAAATGAAATAAATTTTATTTGGACCTTACGATAATTAAAAAAAAACCCATTGAAATGATCCCGACAGGATCAATTAAACTTATTGCAGAATAAGAGGCCAAAACGAAAAAAAAAAAAGCAAAACAAAAAAAGGCCTAGACGATGTTTTGGCCTGTACCGGATCAATGTCAATATCTAAACAACTGTGTACCTACCTTCCCTTAATACAACAACGTCAACTGAAAATAAGTTATGGTTAATGTTGGTTTATGGGAGGGGTTGGCGTGCAGTTGCTCCCACAACTCCGATCCTAAGTATTAGTTTGGTGCTAA